TGTCAAAAAAAGATCAAAATCCTAAATGAAATCTACACACACTAGAAGGACCCTTTCCATAGTTGTCTGGCCTCATACTCCAGCCTTCTAGCCTCTCCTATAAGTCTCTCATACAGAAGCCTAAAAGACACATGACTGATGAATGAGACCACCAGAATGCATTTTCTTTTCCAGACTGCCAGTTTATTTCTGTGCTTTTTCATCATATTTATTTCTCCTTTATCCTCTCCATTGCACTCTAATGAGAGGAACACACCTGTTAGCAGGTTGACTGGCTGTCAGCCATTTAAAGCTAGGCAGGTGGCTCAGGCTAGATTGTGCTTCACGTACAATAGAAACACAAGAGAAACAAATAATTAAAGTTAAACTTCTATCAATGCTCTGATGTTTTTAATTGTCTTTGGAGAGAGAATGATAGCTGTTAGGTCTCTGCCCAACACAGAAACACACAGATCAACACCAATCAAATACTAATTTAGTCTTAGCGCTTTCTTAGCGGTGAAAGAAAGTTTACTTGGCCCGAGGTTGCTTGGCTACCATAGCGGGAAAATTCCATTGTGTCCAGTTCCGTCCTGACCCCTAACCCTTAACCCCTTGACATTAGCGTAATCTGCTATCTATTGTCCGTAGGTCTCCCCTGGCAACCTTCGAACACACTAATGAGAGGAAGACATCAGGACTTGCAGGTTGACTGGCTGTCAGCCATTTCAAGCTAGGCAGGTGGCTCAGGCTAGATTGTGTTTCACTTACAATAGAAACACAAGAGAAACGAAGCATTAAAGGCCCAGTGCAGTCAGAAACATTAAGAACACCTGCTCTTTCCATGACATAGACTGGCCAGGTCAATCCAGGTGAAAGCTATGATCCCTTATTGATGTCACTTGTTAAATCCACTTCAATCAGTGTAGATGAAGGGGAGGAGACAGGTTAAAGAAGGATTTCTAAGCCTTGAGACAATTGAGACATGAATTGTGTATATGTGCCATTCAGTGGGTGAATGGGCAAGACATAGGCAAAATATTTAAGTGCCTTTAAACAGGGTATGGTAGTAGGTGCCAAGCGCACCGGTTTGATTGTGTCAAGAACTGCAATGCAGCTGGATTTTTCACGCTTAACCGTTTCCCGTGTGTATCAAGAATGGTCCACCACCCAAAGGACATCCAGCCAACTTGACACAGCTGTGGGAAGCATTGGAGTCAACATGGGCCAGCATCCCTGTGGAACGCTTTCGACACCTTGTTGAGTCCATGTCCCGACGAATTGAGGCTGTTCTGAGGGCAAAAGGGAGGGGCTGGTGCAACTCAATATTAGATAGGTGTTCCTAATATTTTCTACACTCTGTGTATATTTGCACACTATGAGGTTGAAATAATACTGTGAAAATGATGATAATGCCTTTTTTGTGTACATTTCAGCCCGTTGGATTGAGTTTTGGCCTGCCTGGTGATACCAGGCGGTAAATTAGTTAATAGACCAATAAGAAAGAGAGTTCCAAACATCTCTGCCAATAACAGCTAGTTTTCAGTTTTCCCTTCCCAGACAGTCCTAGCCATATTATTGCTTGATAAATGTATCTTTGCTAAGAAACTATTTTTGTTTATTTTTGACCATTTTAATTGAAAACGATCACAGTAAGGTACTTAATTGTTACCCAGAAATGATTTGATATTGAGATAAAAACGTCTGCATTGGACCTTTAAAGCTTAACTTCTATCAATGCTCTGATGTTTTTCATTGTCTTTGGAGAGAGAATGATAGCAGTTAGGTCTCTGCCCAACACAGAAACACACAGATCAACACCAATCCAATACACATTTCGTCTTAGCGCTTTCTTAGTGGTGAAAGAAAGGTTACTTGGCCTGAGGTTACTTGGCTACCATGGGGAGAAAATTCCATTGTGTCCAGTTCCATCGTGACCCCTAACCCCTGACCCTAGCTTAATCCGCTATCTATTGTCTGCAGGTTTCCCCTGGCAACTTTCAAAGTCCAAAGAATAACTGTTGCTTTTTGTGTTTTTTTTGTCCACCTGTCAGAGTAAGTTAATAGCTGTGTTGTTGTTACTGCTCATGTTGCCCTATTCAGTTAGCGTGTGGGAATGTCACAATTCATTGCATCAACATGATGTTACCCTGCAAGTCCTCAGTTCTTGTGCCAAATTCGAACACAGAGATAGGCCAGTGCTTTCCAAGTAGTGGCATGTTAGCTCAAAATCAATTGGTGTCAGTGTTGTGGAGCTAATACACACACACTGGATATGGTAGTACATTTGTATTTAAGTCTATGTTGATACTGAGGTTTGTGTTTGAATCTGTTACCATGACATATTAACCAGAATTCTCTGCTTTGAGGAATAATTTGAAGCGAGTCTAAACAGGATTACTTATTAGTTCATTAACCCAAACTGGTTTAGTATTGAACTAGGCAAATAACCCTAAGGAAGGGAGTTTACTGCTTTGAAGACGGGGCGGCAGGTAGATTAGTGGTTAAGAGCGTTGTGCCAGTAACCGAAAGGTGACTGGTTCTAATCCCTGAGCCGACTAGGTGAAAAATCTGTCGATGTTCCCTTGAGCAAGGCACTTAACCCTAATTGCTCCTGTAAGTCGCTCTGGATAAGAGCGTCTGCTAAATGACTAAAATGTGAAGACAGAAGATAACAATGAGATATCTACCATTGACCTACATATGGGGTCTGCCATGACTACTGGCGTTGCATGCCATAGCAAATCAATGAATGATGTCATAGGAAATGAACAGAATTGCAAGTTTACACCATGGCTTCAATACTTTATTTCAAACAGACCACAATATTACAAAATATTAAGTGCCGCATGTCATACAAAGACAGTCTCTCTTTTACAATGGTCAGCATTAAACATTCCAAATTACTTCAGGAAAAAAGTATAAATACAAAATCAATTCTGTACAGTTACAAAAAAATAATACTCCATAAAAAAAATACTAGATTTTTGTATTCAAATTGTCTAAAAATCTACACCTTTGAAAAACACCCATTTCCCAACCTTCCACACACACACACAAACACACAAAATATTCAAGTTTGTTAGGACAGGACAATTGACTTAAACCCACATTGTGGGAAGAGGCAGAAAATGCACCAAAACACAATTCACTAAAAAATGGGTCCTCAGATGTGTAGGAATCCTTTAAACTCCCAGACTAGTGTTTATTAGAGCACACAATGGAAAACGTTTTAAAACACTTTGCAACGGGAAACAAAAATGAGCGATAGTTCCTCCGTGTTTCAGTACGTTTTGTTCCATTTAGTGCCTAATGAACACAACCCAGGCTAAAGAGACCCAACTTTGACCTTGGGGTGCCATTCTGGCTCTTTTCTCCCAGGTTTAAACTACCACACACGTGGGGCCAAGCCTTAATAAAAAAATAAAAAGACTACAACGTCCTCTTTGTTCCCTATAGTGGGTTCAACAACACACAAACCACCCTTGAATCAAAGACTTCATCTAGTTTCAAAAGAAGGGGGGGAACGACAATTGCCCTCTAGTTAATCTTAATGAAAACACACATTAAAAGCCAGATGTTGCTGGATATTATTACCCTTACTGTATTATAATCATTCAGTACTACAAAGTCTCTCAACTTATTATTATTATTAAAAACACTATCAAATGCAATTTGATAGAGAAGTTTCAGGATGTAAAACCTAGCTGCCGATTCACAAGCAAAGCATGATACTGTAGTCAGTCACATATAGAATAGGAGTTGGTAGAAAATATCCGTCACCAAAAAAAAACTGGATGCGTCCCAAATAGCACCCAATTCCCTATGGCCTCTGGTCAAATGGTGCACTATATAGGGCACAGTCCACCATTTGGGAACGCAACCCCTGTGTCTTTGGCTATGGGTCCAGAACAGCTTCTAACTAACCTCTACGATGTGATGTGGACACTTCCTGTCACGGGAGACAGGTACACTACCTGACCGTTCATAAAGCTTGAGGCTGGAGGCAGTGACAAGGTCCCCAATATAAACAGATGGGTATACCCAACAACTACATTACCCATACTCCTACACCTTGTTGAAACGTCATTTAAGTTAGCACCAGAGACTCCGTGTTTGGTACCTGGGTCGTGTTCAACAGGGCACAACGTTTTGAAATGTTTTGCAACGGACAAAGAAAATCTGTGTTCTTATTGGACACGTTCAGGTTGTGCCTCCCCGTTGTTACTCAGAGTTCAATACGTTTTCTCCCTTATGAACATGACCCCGGTTTAGCTTCACATACAATGATTCAACCCTGTAAAGCTGGCGAGTTAAAGCTGACATAATACAATGTTGCCCCCTAATGGCCAAAGAGCGGTACTATAAACATTTTGACAGGAAAAGACAAACAAATTCCTGAGAGTTATTGATATAACACCTGCTACACAAAATGACCCAGTTGTTTTTTTTTGTTGGTCATTAGATATGCATACGAAATGTCCTGTGTCTATATTTTTACGCAGCACACATTTCAATTTAAATGTGACGGATACAAACCGTCTACTATACAAATACACAAACAAAAACGTTGAGAGCTTTATAAGCTGGACACACACAAACGCACACACCAGTGTCAATCCAGGCCCTACTCTGAATTCCAAACCACAAAAGTATACAAATATATGTACAAATGACACAGAAATTGACACAGCTAAAGCAAAGAGTTGATGGCTTCATAGTGTAACACCCCCCCCCCCCCCCCATCCCATACCTCTACAGAGGACACTACTGCTTCATGAATATGGGCTGAAGTTTCCCATGACCACCCTCTCCTATACCTCCCTCTTCCCCTCTCCCATCCCTTCTCTCCCTCCCTCTCTTCCTGAATCCCAAATCAACTCCTAGGCCCTAAACCCTAAGCACCCTGACAGTGTTTCCAGTGCCACTTTACACCTATCCAAACCTCCTACTCAAGTGATTTGAATGTAGGGGGGTAGGGTGTAGGGGTTGATTTATGATTCAAAGTCTATCTCCGTCTCTCAGCTTCGGAGCAGGTCTCCCAGGTCGTAGGTGTCGAAGAAGTCGGACACACCCTCGCTGTCCTCCAGCCCCCATAGGTAGTCGTTGTCGAGGGCCGGCGAGAAGCTGACGAAGGGGGCATTGGGGTCTGGGGTGAACACGGGTCCCGCGAGCTGGTCTTCTGTCATTTGGAGCATGCTGGGTGGCAGGCCCAGGAGACCTTCTACGTCCAGGAGGGTAGTGCTACTGCTCACTGGTGTTGGTCTGGAGAGTTCAGCTGAGAGAGAGAGAGAGAGAGAGAGAGAGAGAGAGAGAGAGAGAGAGAGAGAGAGAGATATATTAGGTCAGTAAAGCACATCATGTGGACCCCGGCTGTATCAAACACAAGCCCCCCAGTTCAGCTTACCCTCTATGGGCTCCTGCTTGACCTCCTGTTTGATGGTGGTGCACTGTGTTGGCGCCATGGCCGGGGAGGTGGTGGCAGTGTGACCCAGAGGGTGATGAGGGTAGTCTTTCCTGGGGGTGGTGGTGCTCTTGACGGGGCTGGCATCCTCCAGGCCCTCCTCGGGACAGAGGTACACCTCGATGGGGCCGTTCTTACTCTTCAGGTAGATCTGTTGGGAGCCCTGAGGGTACGGGACAACGGGAAGGTCATGTTAATACAATGTTGTTACTCATTTAATCACGGTATAAAAGCAACGTAATGTAAAGTGTTGCCTGTAACTGTATTATATACAGTGAGGCCAATACAACCTGTGTGGAAATACATTTAGTTAAGGTCATTATAAAAAACATCATTATACAAAGCCTAGTACATTCACAGAATGAATTCACAAATACAGCTGTAGTTGTCCAATAAGTAGTTTAGTAATGCAGTAATTGCAAAACGGGTCCTTCCTCAAGATAAGACATGGGCTGTAATAGAAGTAGTTGTAATGGAGGACACCACATTAAATGGTTTGGTGAGAATGTTCGGTACATCCTCCTACACCAGGGGTTCCCAAACTCAGTCCTGGGGCCCCCCCTGGGTGCACATTTTAATTTTTGCCCTAGGACTACACAGCTGATTCAAATATCCAACTCATCATCAAGCTTTGATCATTTGAATTAGTTGTGTAGTGTTAGGGCAAAAAACAAAACGTGTACCCCTTGGGGTTCCGAGGACCAAGTTTGGGAAACGCTGATCTACGCCTTTATTTATATGGACCTGGAACTATATATCAATGTAAAACAGTATAATACAGTATATCATATATCAGGAACTACATCAGTCTGATTTGTAATACTTTACTCCTTGTCTTTTTTCATTTCTTAAACGAAAGCAGAAATAGGCTAGCCGATCAGCTCCAGTGTTAACGAAACGCTAACGGCCAGCTCCGTATATCTATGACCGTTGACCACTCACCTCTGAGGACTCTGGGACCTCCAGCTTGGTTTCTGACGGGGCCTTGACAGCGATGACCGTCTGGTCCTGCAGACGGGCTATAGATCTGATGTCCTGGTAGGTAACGTAGCCTAGCCGCTGGTTGTCTCTGTGTTCGGTCAGCTCCTTGATTTGGGCACTGCTGGACGTGATCAGGTCATCCAGGGCCTTCTCAGCCCTCTCCAGCTCACCCAGCTCCCGCCGCAGAGCGCGTGACTTCTCCCCGCTGCTGGCCGAGCCCTCGAACACGCCACCCACCCTGGGAGGCAACGGACACATATTTTACATTATGAGCCACCAGGAGCTGCTAGACAATGTACGTGTTTGAGATGGCCTACATTGCAGTCAGGTATATTATTGTTTCTGTGCCATGCTTTGCTCAAACTACTGATTGCCTCAAACACGCTGAATAGGATCTGTATGTCACGGTACAGGTTATGGTCAGGTAAGGTTTGATCCTATTACCATATTGTTAACCCAAAAACACCCAGGATTAGGGGCTAGGGGCGTGATTTGGAATTAGACCCAGCGATGAGTAGGTACTTGTTCTAGGGATACTTTCCTAAGTGTACTTGTCCTAATGCGACTCATCCTGAGTGTACGTCTCCCAAGTGTACTTGTCCACTTCTCCTTAGTGTGCTACTCACAACCACTGGATGTTGTTCTTGGACTTCTTGCGGATGAGCTGCACGCCCTCCAGCACATTGGTGATGTCATAGATGCGTCTCTTCTGCACCTCAAGGACCTCGGTGGCCCAGTTGAGGTCCAGCACGCCGTCAGGTGACTCGCTCAGCAGGCCAACAAACTTCTTGGTCAGCAGACCCAGGGATGTGTCGTAGCGCGTCCGCTCACCGGGAGACTTGGGCGCTGAGGGTCATAGGTCATACAAGAGAGACGTGGTTGGCGAATGCAGCAGCAGGGGAATTATGATACGCCTGTTTTTAATCTAGGTAATACATGTAGGATCATATCTGTATATAGGGATATAGACTGGGTAAGATCTGCATTTAGCTTGTGTATTGAGGTGTACATTTGGATGGACGGATGATGGATGGATGGGTGGATGGAAGGATGGATGATCATGTTGTGTCGCTTTATGCAACCTCTCCCTTATTTGAGAATGAAGAAACGTTAAGGTAGGGGGCAGTGCTTATGAATAAGGTTAAGGTAGGGGGCAGTGCTTATGATCAAATGTTAAGGTATGGGGCAGTGCTTATGAATAAGGTTAAGGTAGGGGGCAGTGCTTATGAAGAAAGTTAAGGTATGGGGCAGTGCTTATGAAGAAGGTTAAGGTATGGGGCAGTGCTTATGAAGAAGGTTAAGGTATGGGGCAGTGCTTATGAAGAAGGTTAAGGTATGGGGCAGTGCTTATGAAGAAGGTTAAGGTATGGGTCAGTGCTTATGAAGAAGGTTAAGATATGGGGCAGTGCTTATGAAGAAGGTTAAGGTAGGGGGCAGTGCTTATGAAGAAGGTTAAGGTATGGGGCAGTGCTTATGAAGAAGGTTAAGGTATGGGGCAGTGCTTATGAAGAAGGTTAAGGTATGGGGCAGTGCTTATGAAGAAAGTTAAGGTATGGGGCAGTGCTTATGAATAAGGTTAAGGTAGGGGGCAGTGCTTATGAAGAAGGTTAAGGTATGGGGCAGTGCTTATGAAGAAGGTTAAGGTATGGGGCAGTGCTTATGATCAAACGTTAAGGTATGGGGCAGTGCTTATGATCAAACGTTAAAGTAGGGGGCAGTGCTTTTTCTCATTGATGCAGACACTCACTTTTGGGACTTGGGAGACTGGCTGCAGCCACACTCCCCTTTCCTTTAAGGGTCCTGAAGTCAGGGAGGTAGAGAGGGTCCTCCAAGTCCAGCTTCCTCTTGGCCTATGAGGGGGGACAAAGGGGTTAAAGACAGCTTGAGACTGGGTATGTGTCCCAAATTGTCAAAGACTTCTAACGGCCCTCACATTGTCAAAGACTTCTAACGGCCCTCACATTGTCAAAGACTTCTAAAGGCCCTCACATGCCCTCACATTGTCAAAGACTTCTAACGGCCCTCACAAGCCCTCACATTGTCAAATACTTCTAACGGCCCTCACATTGTCAAAGACTTCTAAAGGCGTCCACATGCTTCCCAGCAGAAACAGTTCGGAACAGTTCCTGCATATTATATTATGACGATATTTTGTGACGTTTTTGTTCGTTTTTGACTTTCTTTTGGGCTGTTTGGGCAAGCCAAAGTCGGTAGCTGAAGTCTACGCCCCCTTGTCGGAGATTGGTCAAAAGTAAGGATTCTTCAATGAAGTAAGTGCCTGTTGTAATTCAACGAGAGACGACTCTTCCTTAAGCACATTTTTTCATTTGAGAAATACCGCACCAAACATCCTAGTCAGATGCAAAATTGCTTGACTAAGATCTCCTCCGCAAACACACTTGAGTTATCTTAAATACATTCTGACTATTTTGAGGAAGTTTATACCGGCTACGGCGTCTCAAAATGGACAAACAGTACTATTGCTGCAATTTTCTTGTTTTTCATGGGAGTGTGAGTGAACACTTGCTCGGTTCTCCTAGGCTAGGTACCAGTCCAACTGAAGCATGTTGACGCCTTAAAGGGGGAGAGTGTGTGTGTGTGTGGGGTCTCACCACCCCCATCCCCCCTCCTCCTCTCACCCATTACCCCTCACTCCTTCTTTAGCCCATTCCTTTCTCCAGTGAACACACAGGCAGCCTGTCCAATCCCAACCATCACAGATCACACTCTTTGCACGAGGCCTTCTCAATCAGTAGGTCACCTGACCAAGACCAATACACACACACACCTACTAGGAGGTCCACTGCTACCACACACACTCTGTTATGGACACACACTCTGTTATGGACACACACTCTGTTATGGACACACACTCTGTTATGGACACACACTCTGTTATGGACACACACTCTGTTATGGACACACACTCTGTTATGGACACACACTCTGTTATGGACACTCTGTTATGGACACACACTCTGTTATGGACACACACTCTGTTATGGACACTCTGTTATGGACACACACTCTGTTATGGACACTCTGTTATGGACACACACTCTGTTATGGACACACACTCTGTTATGGACACACACTCTGTTATGGACACACACTCTGTTATGGACACACACTCTGTTATGGACACACACTCTGTTATGGACACACACTCTGTTATGGACACACACACACACACACACACACACACAAATGAACAAGACCACCTATACACACACGTCCAACACATGTATTCACCACTACCAGACCTGTAGTCTTACTCACCACTACCAGACCTGTAGTCTTACTCACCACTACCAGACCTGTAGTCTTACTCACCACTACCAGACCTGCAGTCTTACTCACCACTACCAGACCTGTAGTCTTACTCACCACTACCAGACCTGTAGTCTTACTCACCACTACCAGACCTGTAGTCTTACTCACCACTACCAGACCTGTAGTCTTACTCACCACTACCAGACCTGTAGTCTTACCACCACTACCAGACCTGCAGTATTACTCACCACTACCAGACCTGTAGTCTTACTCACCACTACCAGACCTGTAGTCTTACTCACCACTACCAGACCTGTAGTCTTACTCACCACTACCAGACCTGTAGTCTTACTCACCACTACCAGACCTGCAGTCTTACTCACCACTACCAGACCTGTAGTCTTACTCACCACTACCAGACCTGTAGTCTTACTCACCACTACCAGACCTGTAGTCTTACTCCACCACTACCAGACCTGTAGTCTTTACTCACCACTACCAGACCTGTAGTCTTACTCACCACTACCAGACCTGTAGTCTTACTCACCACTACCAGACCTGTAGTCTTACTCACCACTACCAGACCTGTAGTCTTACTCACCAATACCAGACCTGTAGTCTTACTCACCACTACCAGACCTGTAGTCTTACTCACCACTACCAGACCTGTACAACACATTTATTCACCACTACCAGACCTGTACAGTGCACCGTTGTCCCCAAACTGCAAGACCCCCATCCCCAACACACACCACCTCTAAAAAAAAAAACTCTACACACACACTCCTGACTGAAGTACCTAACGAGGCATAGGATTCCATCCAGATGGTCATGCACTATGTAATTAGTACCTGCTGCTTGGAGGCACACCTCCCTCCTTCTCTCTTTCTCTCTCCCTCTTTATCCCTCCCTCCCTCTTTCTCTCTCTTTATCCCTCCCTCCTTCCCTCTCTCCCCCTCTTTCTCCCTTTCCCATTTTCTCAATCTCTCCCCCCTTCGTCTCTTACCCCTCTCACAGATACGACCCTACTATGTTAGGGGGCCAGTGATGCTGTTAATGACTACAGAACACCCCCATACTGCAGCATGGGGTATAAATCACTCTGTGTGATAAAACTAGGCTATGTGACGCGTGTCATGACCTGGCGCTGCAATAAACCCTGTGTACGACTACCAAGTGAGGTCATTACAGTACAACTAGATACACAGAGGTATAGGTACTCATTCGTAGTTTTCATAAGTACTCATTCGTAGTTTTAACTACTGTTGTTTTAACTTTCAACTATGGTCTTAACTGCACTGGTTCTCTTTTCTCACCATGTTGTAACCATGGAGAGGCTATAAACTGACATGGGAGATTCTGGAAAAGCAGCTAAGGTCTTCCCATACTGCAGACCATACATAGGAGGCTATAGGTCCAGAGGTTTCCTGTTATTACACAGGGTCAGGAAAAACTCCTGGTCCTATGTAAACCATACCGTACTTCAGTAGATCTGGGTCTGTATTCATAATGTGTCTCAGAGTAGGAGTGCGGATCTAGGATCAAGTCCCCTCTGTCCATGTAAGGTTACTTATTAAGAGGATAAACTGATCCTAAACCAACACTCCTCCCCTGTAGCTCAATTGGTAGAGCATGGCGCTTGTAACGCCAGGGTAGTGGGTTCGATCCCCGGGACCACCCATACGTAAAAATGTATGCACACATGACTGTAAGTCGCTTTGGATAAAAGCGTCTGCTAAATGGCATATTATTATATTATTATTTATGAATATAGGCCCTGAGAGGAGGCTAGAGAATGTGAGCAGCTTGTGGATTTGGACTGAACCATGGCGTGGGTGAAGAAGGGTGTCATTGTCGCTCTGTCCTCCAACACATGTCCAACCGTCTGTCAGTGACATCTGGGACAGCCACACACAGCAGGTGGCAGGGAGACCACAAGAGAACCTGCCTGATCCTTATAGGAAACATAGAAAAACACACACAGGTTCACTTTAGGGGCACCACACTAACTTCGCCTACTACATAGTCTATTTACTGTACTGTATCACCGTCACCATCACAACCAATCACGTGTTTCGATTTTAGTTACAGCAATTTGGTAGTGAAGCAAACATTTGTAGTCTACCAGTGCTACTTATGGTAACAATACATTTGTAATTATATAGGCTAATGTTTGTTTTATTGACTAGTAGTGGACTGGTTTGTTCCCCTCCAAATTGTTCAACCTGCATTAAGATATGACTTCTCCTTTTGACCAATCAAGAGGAAGGAAATGGATAAAGAGACACCGCCTAGAGGGAGGATTGAGGAGACACACGGTTAAAGGCCCAGTGCAGTCAAAAATGTGATTTTCTTATGTTTTATATATATTTCCACACTATGATGTTGGAATAATACTGTGAAATAGTGGAAATGATGATAATGCACTTTTAGTGTAAGAGCTGTTAGAAAAGACTGCCTGAAATAACAGCCTGTTTTGGTGGGATGGAGTTTTGGAATCACCAGGCGGTAACTTAGTTAATAGACCAATTAGAAAGAGAGTTCCAAACCTCTCTGCCAATAACAGCTAGTTTTCAGTTTTCCCCTCCCCACTCAGACCACTCCCAGACAGTTCTAGCAAAATTCTTGCTTGAGAAATGTTCTCTTTGCTAAGAAACTATTTTTGTTCATTTTTGACCATTTTAATTTAAAACAATCACAGTAAGGTACTTAATTGTTACACAGAAATAATTTGATATTGAGATAAAAATGTCTGCATTGGACCTTTTTAAGACCTTTTCAGACCACCTCACGGATTAAAATGTGACACTTTGACATGTAACTGTCATATATAGATCGGATCACATGACATGTGGTGGTTAAAATGGCAACCGTGTGTTGTTGACAGCACTGTGGACCTCCTCCTTTAACATTTAACCTGTTTTGCCCAGCAGCTTTGCAGAGACTCAGCTGAGTCCTGTTTTATTTTATTTTATTTTACCTTTATTTAACTAGGCAAGTCAGTTAAGAACAAATTCTTATTTACAATGACGGCCTACACCGGCCAAACCCGGACGACGCTGGGCCAATTTCTGTGAGTTTGTAGTGAGGTTTTGTAATAATAATAATATGCCATTTAGCAGACGCTTTTATCCAAAGCGACTTACAGTCATGTGTGCATACATTTTTACGTATGGGTGGTCCCTGGGATCAAACCCACTACCCTGGCATTACAAGCGCCATGCTCTACCAATTGAGCTACAGAGGACCAGCGCTTTGCAAACAGTTTGATGAGTGAAAAAACAAATCCTATTTGTCAGCTAACATACCGCGGGGGTCAAAAAAAATACTCAACCAACAAATGCTAACAACACTAAGTAATGTACAAAGAGCTACAGAACAGAACGAGAGACACAGACACTAACAGTAGCTAAAAGAATGTTGAGCTCAAACATAGTGAGTTAACAGCTCACTACAGCAATTGTCAACACATTATTAGTAGGCCATTGCCAGGCATTTAAATACACTGAGTCCCTCCTTCACAATACCTTCTTTATCTACATGACACAGTAAATTATAGTGTTTCAACCTACAGCCATTATTGCCCCACAGCGACTTGGCTACACCCTAAATATGCACGAGTTCAGCTCTCCTTCCACCCACCCACCCATGACCCAACCCTCCCATTCAACTCCCACCATTTCACCAGATATGACTGGAAATTTTTCAGAGGCATTTCACAAATATGGGTCACATGAAGCAAAGGCTTTCAACATTTTACATTTTTACATTTTAGTCATTTAGCAGACGCTCTTATCCAGAGCGACTTACAGGAGCAATTAGGGTTAAGTGCCTTGCTCAAGGGCACATCGACAGATTTTTCACCTAGTCAGCTCGGGGATTAGAACCAGAGACCTTTCGGTTACTGGCACAACGCTCTTAACCACTAAGCTACCTGCCGCCCCGGTCTTGTTAGCTAGCCTAGTTACCGTCTCTCTCTTCAAACACCAGGGTTGTATTCATTAGTCAACAAACAGAAGGAAACCGGGAGGGACTACCCAAACTTATGCAAAACAAAAGGCTAGTTTTTGGTTTCCATTGTAAAACTTTTGCTACGCTTTGCCCTAATGAATATGACCCAGTTCAATTATGTAGAACCAGTCTTCCCAGGTAGGGACAAGTTTCAATATGTCTGACAAAAAAAAGACAAAAAGATCCATTCAAAACCTAGCATATTCCTACCTACAACCATGGGACTGGGAGTCAGAGGTACAACAATGAAAAGGTTGAGCTGCATTGCTGATGACATTGTCAAGGTGCCGAAGGGAGAGAAGGTCCATTTGGTGTGGACTTTGAAATGCTAAACAAACCCCATTGAGGGGAGCATGATAGCTTGTGGGTCGGAGTGGGGCCTAGGGCAGGCCAAAAAGAGAAGGGGGGAAGAGAGCCTTTGGCTGGAGTGTAAACAAGGCACAAAGTGGGCAATCTCACACCCCGGCACCCTGAGCCCTAGTCGGAATAGGGGCTCACCATGGGGGTCCCAGAGATGGTGAGGGCGTAGGCAATGACGACATGAGGAAGTGACATGTGAGGGGGATCAGGGGGTAGCTAGCATGTCTCGGAAACCTATGTAACTAGGCCTGCATCGTGGAGAACTCCATTACACATTTTACATAACACACAGTTTTATTAATTATGGCCTCCTGTAGCCCAGTTGGTAGAGCATGGCACTTGCGACGCCAGGGTTGTGGGTTCGATTCCCAATATGAAAAATGTATGCACTCACTAAACTGTAAGTCGCTCTGGATAAGAGCGTCTGCTAAAAATGTAAATGTAATTATCATAATAACACATTTGAGATAATATTCTCTTCTAGAACCGTAAAGGGGTTAAAGGTTAAGGTTAAAGGTTCTAGCCTAAGCCTCAATCCATCTCACAGGGTCACTCAATGTGCATGTATAAACGCAATTGTCTACTCAAAACTTCCCTCATGATGTGTTATATCCCCACCTATTGTGAACTTTAACCTCCTGTATATGTGTCAAACTGAAATCCTTGACCTTCTGTCCTGTTTTTCAACTGGGGAGCAAAGTTCTATCAAACATTTACGAGTTAGTAGTAGTATCACCCTCACAGGAAACGCAGTGACAATGTTACAGCTTGTGGCCTCGCAAATCACTCAAACATCACAGCAACCACTATAAATATTACACAGTGGGGATATATCCTCTCAAGTTATCTATAGTAGTACGGCACGTGACCACGTCCCAAATGGCACCCTATTCCCTATATAGTGTACTACTAACTCATAGGTCTCTGGTCAAAAGCAGTGAAGTTTATTTATTTAAGCATCAGTTGTCAGAGCACCTTACCGATCACTGCACCTGTACACAGCCCATCTGAAATTAGCCCACCCAACTACCTCATCCCTATATTGTTATTTATTTTGCTCATTTGTACCCCAGTATCTCTATTTGCACATAATCTCTTGCACATCTAGCATTCCAGTGTTAATACTATTGTAATTATTTTGCACTATAGCCTATTTATTGCCTTACCTCCATAACTTGCTACATTTGCACACACTGTAAATATATTTTCTGTTGTATTTTTGACTTTATGTTTTTTACCCCATATGTAACTCTGTGTTGTTTTTATTGCACTGCTTTGCTTTATCTTGGCCAGGTCGCAGTTGTAAATGAGAACCTGTTCTCAACTGGCTTACCTGGTTAAATAAAGGTGAAATAAAAAATAAATAAAAAAAGTATGTAGGGAATGGGGCGCCGTTTGGGACACACCCCATTTGCTTTTGCCTCGGCCAAGTTTGAAGTATCCATGACTATCTGTGAAGTGTCTGTGAGTGACCCATATTTCAGGTTAATTCTACTCCCACGCAAGGAGAATAACTTTGGCATGTTGTTGACTGTACAGGGAGAAGAAAATGGATCCTTCACAGCAGTGTTTACAAGTAGCAGGGCAGGAGGATGTTCTGCTCCAATGCTTCTTCTGATGATCAGTGAGCACCAGACATTGAAAATACGTATTTTCAACCCCCAACAATATTTTCAACAGTTTTTGCTCATAAGCCTATCACTCTGCAGTTTCCAGGGCAAATACAGCCTCTCTTCCCACTGTGCTTTATTGCCTGCAAAGGCTGATATTTTGTTGTTTATCATAACTAGGGCCAGGAGTGACAACTTGACCCGACAAGGAAAAACTCTGGGCCCTAGTTATATGCGATCACTGTTGTTTACGAAGAATGTGATGAATAATTTGTTTTTTTTAATTAAAAATTGTATTTGATCACTAGTTGTAACCTAGTAGTAAATAGTTTTATAAAAACTTTTTTTTTTCTGGTCAGAAAAAACTCATGGCCCTAATCCTAACAGTAGGATAGAGAGGGGCAATGAATAGGAAGCTGACATTAGGACAATGGAGAGTAGTACACAATGGGAATTGCATTAGCCCAGTCACGTGACTAGCCTAGTTAATGTCATTTCATTTTATTAAAGCATTGGAGTAGTCCCCACTCTAGTCAATATTTAGCCTGAACACACAGACACACTGAATGCTGTGTGTGTGTTAATCAGCAACATATCATTATCTCCCTATCTCCCAAGACTACTACTACTACTACGAATACTACTACTGCTACGACTACTACTACTACTACTACTACCTCTACTACTACTACCACTGCTACCACTACTTGTGTGTGTGGCTTCAGAGCTTCCTCACATGAACATAACAATTATGTAAACTCACAAGAAAAGTAAGTGGTTGTCCAGCTGTGACCTGTGACCTTTGTGAATGGACACAAACGGGTTGTATGAGGTGAGCAGGCAGGAACAATTCAGACAAGGTGACATTATTGCTTGGTTAGTCAAGGTGAGGTATGGCTTGGTTAGTGACAGCTGGGGGCTATGGCTAAACAATGTGTTAAGCTAAATAGCATTTTGTGCAGATTACTGGTATTGCCTGGATGGACATTAGGAAATAAGTTCCCTGTCCAGATGGAGCATTTTCTCATTCATTTAACTATAAATGGACATTTAGAAAGAGAAATCTCCCTCTCCAAATAGGGGTGAAATTAGAGCCAGGCATTGTTGAATTCAGTGATACCCCCAGTCCTGGCTAACCCCCCACTGAGGGCCCCCCCCAAACACTCAACTCCCCTAACCATCTGTGTCTAATACAGCTGTGCTGCGGGAGAAATGTCACGGACTCAAAATCGTTTCTCAAGCTGGGCGAAAAGATGACAACCCGTTCATTGGACACAAAGTGCACACTGATTCCATGACGTTGCCTGATCATGTCCAACACTTTTTAAATGTCAAGCACTGCACAACTCCGATAAATATATGCATGCCATTGGAACTGGAATATTTTGCCCATATAATATGACACATTGCATAGTTAGTAACGTAAATTATCAAGTGGATAGCTAACTGTTATATCGATTGGTGGTAGTTGCATCATCCTTTGTTTACGAAGTCTTACCGGGAGACGACCGGAGGATGATCTGATTGGTTTAGCTTCGGGTCCATGGGGGGTTGCATACAGGCAGTTCGCCCTTTGTTCCACTGCTGTCGTGTTGCATATTTGGGTAAAGTATCCAGCCGGTACCGAGTTCATCGGTGGACTGGATAACCCGGTGCTGAAGAACTCGGTCTTCACTCCGGACAAAACTTTCTTCTGCGAACACGACAATCCCCCTACAGCACCTCGACCAGACGCAGGAGAAACGCCTTTGGGCATCTGCATCATTTTAGTAAATTAAAATAACGGCTATTTAAAATAAATATGTTTAGCTAGCAAAGCACGAAGCTTCCAGAAATCTGTATTCACGACAGTGAGTGAATAAGAGGAGTTGCTGTCTTTCCGATACGAACTGGAAACGTTATCTCTCAATTCGTAGCTAGCTTGATAAAAGTCAAAAGAAGTTCATAAAAGGTTATTTAGTTAATAATGTGCAAAATTCACAAGTGAAATATGCACCAGAGATATCCTTTGCTTGAATATTTTCAATGAAACGACTACTGTAGCTTTGCAACCGATATTATCCTTTGTCCAGTAGAGGAAACGTACACTTTGCCTAATTATTTGAATAGTAAATAAATAAACGATATTTGCAAATATAGTATGAGCAAACTTTTAAGTTTACGTCTTGAGATGCAGATTCCTCCAGAAAAGACAAAGTTTAGAAGGATTCTTAAGATTTTCAGGAGAGGAGATATAGCTACTGTCGGGTTCACTGTCCAGTTAAAAAGTTTAATTGTATATACAAGCGACTTGGAGCTCCGAGGAACTGTTTTTTTAGCGCCAAATTACGTCCCGCGAAATTTGGATCTCCCGCGGTTAGTGCTCGTCTTTGATTGGTCCAGAGCTCATCGCGATTGTTACATTCCGTATATATTATGCACGTTTTGGATAAAACAGTTGGCGCGGGGCGTGCCCAGCCTTAAAGGAACAGTATGTCCCTTTGTAGTCATTTTGAGGGCTAAGGTACCAATTTCGAAACTGAAATTTTAACAATAACATGTTTTTATAACACTTACTGATAAGCAGCACGATATCATGAGCACAAAAACACATCTAGATATTATTTCATTTCCTCTATAGAGTAGAGCACAATCATTTAGGCCCACTCAACCATTGTGCTTAGACCCCCACCACTCTCATAATATCTAATTGTAAGATACTAATTAGAACCAAATCAGCTTTATAAACAGGGTATTTCAAATCCTCAATCAAACAATCAAGTGAAGTTGTATGTGAATTTTATGTGCAAAATAAGTTGAATCGAATGACATCTGCTGCTCACTAGTTCACAAAGAGAGAAGTAAACATTCCTAGGAGACATACACCCCCCCCCCCCCCCCCCCCCATCCCTCATTGACCCGCACAAGCTTCCAAATATGACACAAATGCCCCTGTTCATTATACTTCACATTTCACATGAAGTTCTACTGTCAGGCTGGTTCTAGAGCTGGTTGTGCTGTTTAACCAACTCCTATGTCTATTGTCATGACAACGGCCATAGAAGTTGGCTATACAGCACTAGCATCAGGCTATCCCATTGGTGCCTTCCACCTACAGTCAAGATGGTCACAATAAAGCAATACAGTGAGCAAAATGAGCTCATAAGTGGTCAATTCTCACATCAAGAGTTGATAATGGCCTTGGAGATGTGGTGATGTGTATGTATAGCTTATTGGAGATGTGGTGATATGTATGTATAGCTTATTGTGCATACATTCAGCTTGCTGCAGTTGGCAGACACCCTGCAGTGACTTTCCCATGCATGTGGTGAGACTAGAAGCAATAGGCTATATGGTCAACTGGAGCAAAACCACAGCCAAATGATTAAACTGGAGCAAAACCACAGCCAAATGATTAAACTGGAGCAAAACCACAGCCAAATGATTAAACTGGAGCAAAACCACAGCCAAATGATTAAACTGGAGCAAAACCACAGCCAAATGATTAAACTGGAGCAAAACCACAGCCAAAGGATTCAATAGAAGAAGAAGAAAAAAAACACTTGTCCTTTCCTACCAGCACCGACTTTGCTGATAACTTCTTTATTGAGGAAAAATGTTCTTACTCCGACTTTGATGTGGTTGTCTCACCTAGCAATCTTACTGTAAGATGAATTAACTAATTGTAAGTCGCTCTGGATAAGAGCGTCTGCTAAATTACTCAAATGTAATAACTATATTATAAACAGCAGCAGGTCTAGGGCTATGGTGTCTGTCTTGTATTGAAATGTATGTGTGTGTGTGTGTGATCTAGTCAGCATGCATGGTCAGTGAAGGTCTGTTAATCCGTTTCTGTGTTTGCACCTATTTGCTTTTGCCCCATCATGATGAAATACCTCACAATATGGGGTCAAAATAAACAGAGACAAACACGTGTTGTCAAGCAAGTACCAATACTATGCAGTTGACCTGATTACTTTTATAATGTAATTTGTTACAAAGCCAAAAAAGCAGCAGTTGGCTGTCTCTCAGGCTCATATGAATTCATGCTACATTTTATTTAAAACATTTATGTACAGCACTGCTATAAAACGTTTTTTCTTCTGCTTGGTTTATCTATCTAGAGATGGTCTTATTCACTAGCAGTATATATATCTCATTCACTAGCAGTTTGTATAGCTCATTCACTAGCAGTATGTGTATCTGATAACAGTTACACTCATATATAGAGACTGGAGGTCTTCTAGTTATGGAACTCTACGGCATTCATTGACATATCATGCAAATATCTCCATCTTGTGGTTCAGTGAGGCATTTTATATACACAGCAAATCCCAAAGCACTGTAATGATAAAGAGTGATACTATTTATCTACAGAACTGTTATAACACATGTTTAAGTTAGTTTAATTGTTTATTATACAAATTCAACAACTGTCCTTGTAAACAAACAATAGGAATAAACAAGAATAAGATATGAGGTTACAAATGTGTGTTAACAGGTTACAAATGTGTGTTAACGGGATACAAATGTGTGTTAACGGGTTACAAATGTGTGTTAACGGGTTACAAATGTGTGTTAACGGTTTACAAATGTGTGTTAACAGGTTACAAATGTGTGTTAACAGGTTACAAATGTGTGTTAACGGTTTACAAATGTGTGTTAACGGGTTACAAATGTGTGTTAACGGCTTACAAATGTGTGTTAACGAGATACAAATGTGTGTTAACGGGTTACAAATGTGTGTTAACGGGGAAGAATGGACGGACCTCCCAGGGGAGAAAGGAAACGAAGAGCCCAAGAAGAAGAAGAGCTGATTCTCTGGGTGAACGACAAGGTTAAAGATCGATACCAGAAGAATCCTGAGCGCATCTATTACAATGAGGAGCACAAAGGAGACAGGCTGGTGTACAAGGGGGCTTATAACAACACCCGAGCGGAGCAGGAGAGACAGAATCTGGAGGACCGCTGGACAGATTAGCACATTTAGGCATGACATGCCGGCAACAAATGCAGACACTACACATCCAAGTATAACTGACCAAATTATGAAAGACAAGCATTGTAATTTTGAATTCCGTAAAGTGAGTGTGGAAGAGGTGAAAAAATTATTGTTGTCTATCAACAATGACAAGCCACCGGGGTCTGACAACTTGGATGGAAAATTACTGAGGATAATAGCGGACGTAATTGCTACTCCTATTTGCCATATCTTCAATCTAAGCCTACTAGAAAGTGTGTGCCCTCAGGCCTGGAGGGAAGCAAAGTAATTCCGCTACCCAAGAATAGTAAAGCTCCCTTTACTGGCTCAAACAGCCGACCAATCAGCCTGTTACCAACCCTTAGTAAACTTTCAGAAAAAATGGTGTTTGACCAGATACAATGCTATTTCACAGTAAACAAATTGACAACAGACTTTCAGCACGCTTATAGGGAAGGACATTCAACAAGCACAGCACTTAACACAAATTACTGATGATTGGCTGAGAGAAATTGATGATAAAAAGATTGTGGGGGCTGTTTTGTTAGACATTATCAATCATAGTCTGCTGCTGGAAAAACGTATGTGTTATGGCTTTACACCCCCTGCTCTATTGCGTATAAAGAGTTACCTGTCTAACAGAACACAGAGGGTGTTCCTTAATGGAAGCCTCTCCAACATAATCCAGGTAGAATCAGGAATTCCCCAGGGCAGCTGTCTAGGCCCCTTACTTTTTTTTCAAACTTTACTAACGACATGCCACTGGCTTTGAGTAAAGCCAGCGTGTCTATGAATGCAGATGACTCCACACTAGACACGTCAGCTACTACAGTGACTGAAACGCTTAACAAAGAGCTGCAGTTAGTTTCAGAATTGGTAGAAGATTGACGACAGGAAACAAGTACAGATTTAATATATAAAGTGAAAAAAGAGCTAAGAACAGGTGCCGGAGAGAAAGAAAACACATCAATGCAAGACACAGGGATCAAACTGGGAGAAATATGGGAGGTAATAAGCAGTGATGAAGTCATGGCCCTCAAAAGCGCTGATGCACGTATCGATGGCCAGTTCGCATGTGCGTAACATGGTGACAGGTGTGCGAACAGAATGGGCAGACTGGCGCCTCGGCCACAGGGAGAGAGGAAAATGGATAGCCAGACTTCTTTGAATATTTAAAAAACTAAAGTATTGTATTTGGACAAATCATTCACTAAACCCTAAACCTCAACTAAATCTCGTAATGAATAATGTGGAAAATGAGCAAGTTGAGGTGACTGAACTGCTTGGAGTAGCCCTGGACTGTAAACTGTCATGGTCAAAACATATTGATGCAATAAGTAGCTAAGATGGGGAGAAGTCTGTCCATAATAAAGCGTTGTTCTGCCTTCTTAACAACACTATCAACAAGGCAGGTCCTACAGGCTCTAGTTTTGTCGCACCTGGACTACTGTTCAGTCGTGTGGTCAGGTGCCACAAAGAGGGACTTAGGCAGCATGGCTGGCCCTTGGATGTACACAGAGAGCAAACATGAATAATATCCATGTCAATCTCTCCTGGCTCAAAGTGGAGGAGAGATTGACTTAATCACTAATTGCTTTTGTAAGAAGAGTTGACAAGCTGAATGCATCAAGCTGTCTGTTTAAACTACTGGCACACAGCTCGGACACCCATGCATACCCCACAAGATATGCCATCAGAGGTCTCTTCACAGTCCCCAAGTCCAGAACAGACTATGGGAGACACACATTACTACATAGAGCCATGACTACATGGAACTATATTCCACATCAGGTAACTGATGCAAG